TGAGCTCCTCTACTATTGTGGTTAAGCGTAATAGGGTTTACTTTATTATGGGAGTTCCCTTGTTAGAAAATCTTTGGGCCCCCGAGACCCAAGATATTTCACATCATCTCCAGAGCGAGAGATACAAAAGCAGAAATAATCTCTTTCTCTCTTCCTTCCCATCCAAGGATCGAATAGCAAACTTTGCAAATAGAACCATAAATCAAATTTTCTCCTTTATCAGTGTCAACTATAATGTTTTTATCTCCTCTCTTTTTTGAATATAGAACAATTGAATCTGCTCCAGTTCCTGTTTCATGTTGCAAATGAGGTTAATGAATACCTTTTTTATAAATATCTTGAATGGGAACTGGACCTCACCATGCTGTGGCTCAACACAGCGCAAAATCATGAGGAGCGTGTGTATGTGCGTGTTTGTGTGCGAGACAGCTATACATAGTGATAAGGGGAGTCCTCGACTTATCGCTATTCATTCAGTCACCATTCAAAGTTACAACGGCATTGAAAAAAGTGACAGGACCGTTTTTCCACACACTTTCCCCAGCTCTTCTGCAACTTCAGCTCACCCAGCCCAAAGGACTTCAGGTTCCTCCTTACATGTCAAAAGACGACCAAGTGGCTTCCTCCAGGGCTGGGATTCAAAAATTTCAGCAACTGGTTCTCTGCCCGGTTCCTGGGTGGGCATGGCCATGATGGGCGTGGCCTAGTCAGCCTCCTGCACCACGGCAGAGGGGGGCGTTTTTCCCTTCCCAGGCTCTGGAGGCCTTCTTCAAACTTCCAGGAGGGCGAAAATGGTCTCCCCAAGCTCTGGAGACCCTCTGGAGGCTGGAAAAGGGCCCATTTCTGGTCTTCCGGAACTTCCAGGAGGCCCGTTTTTCGCCCTCCTTGAGCCTCTGCGCGGGCCCTGCACTTATCTGCATCCAAAATGGGCCACGTGGGGACTCCTGGGAGGGGAGGGGAGGGGCGAGGTGGGGTGGGAGGGGCTGGCCCAAGGTAGGATTTGCAGGTTCGCCAACTGGGAAGAATCCTAGAGGATCACCCGAACCTGTGCGAGCCCACAGCAGCCCACCCCTGGCTTTCTCCCAAGATTAGTTAATATAACTGATCCTAGTTTAATACAATTACTTTGGAGGGACTGTCAAGGCAGCAGGCTAGGAACTAGGAGAATGTGAATTCTAGTCCTTCTTTGGTCTAGATTCACTTGACCAACCTGGACTATCTCCAGCAGAAGACCTGACCACAAAGCAACCAATGATTTCACCCAGGAGTTTCATGTGGATATGAACCAGAAAAAGAGAGGTGGCCAAACCTTGCAGGGCTGAAGAGAGGAATTCAAGGACAGAAGCCATTATTTCACCCCAACTATCGATACCGGTTTAAATCATTCACGAAAAGGAGGATCGTTACCACAAATCAGTGTCTGCTTCTCTCCAGCCAGGTTGCAAAAAAGGCCATGGTGGACAGCATCATGTCCCTCTTTCTCTCTCTATTACTCTCTTTCAGCTTCGGGAAGAGGGCGGCGGCCAAGCAAACCACATCCAAAACCTTACCAAAAAAAATATGCAGAAGCCAAGAATCACCAGAAGGCTCACATATTTATCTCTTGTATCCTAGTTTTAACAGTGTTTATCAGGGATGCCCAATCTTGGCCTCTTTTAAGATAGGTGGACTTGAACTCCCAGAATCCCCCAGCCAGTTATGCTTTGAACTAAGCCAGGCGGTGTCAAACTCGCATCGCCTCGTGACATATCGCGACTTTTTCCCCCTTCACTAAACAGTGCACGATGCATCTGGCCAGCAGGCCGTGAGTTTGACAGCCCTGAGCTAAGCAATGAATCCTAAGTTGAAGTCATAGAATCATAGAATAACAGAGTTGGAAGGGACCTACTCCAACCCCCTGCTCAAGCCTCTGCCTAGGATTGAACTCACAGCCTCTCGATTGTGAGGTGAGAGCTCCACCTCTAAGCCACCGGAACTGCATCAGTCTTAAAGATCTTTAAATCTTAAAGTGGCTACCATTGGACATCCCTGATATCTATATATCTGTCTGTCTACATATATATAGGTATACCAATATAGGCAGACACATACATATATATGTATACACATACATGTGTACGTGTTTGTATGTATGTATGTATGTATGTATATGCATGTAGGTGTGTGTGTGTGTGTGTGTGTGTATATACGTATTTATCTCTACCTACCTACCCATATACCTCGAGTCGCCATGGGCGAATAGGCAGCAATATATATTAAATAAAATATAGGTATACCAATAGATGAGATATAGACAGATAGACAGATATACATACATATTTATGTATACACACTTGTGTGTGTGTGTGTGTGTATCTATATGTTTATGTGTGTGTATGCATCTATCTCTATTTCATCTACCTACCTATTATTGGTTTAGGCATACGGATAGATGATATAGAGACATAGACAGACAGACAGACACACACACACACATATATGTATACACGTGTGTGTGTATGTATGGTATTCAGCTTTGTTCGGGTATTTTCCCACGTCGTTATAGTTGTGCTTTTAAAGCACAACTTTAAAAGCACAACTATAACGACGTGGGAAAATACCCAAACAAAGCTGAATACCATACATATAAATACCCGCGAAAACTTAAGAAAACGAGAGAGAGTGTGAGTGTAACTATCTCTATCTTATCTATCATCTATATCCAGTCTGCACAATTTAGTCTGTCTGTCTATCCATCTCTCTCTCTCTCTCTTTTTAAAAATCTGGGATATATTTTATTTTATTCTATAAAATACTTAAGTGGTTTTCTAATGTTGCACCTCCAGGGAAGTGGAGGCCCTGGGTGACGGTCAAGGTCCGGATTTGAAGAGAGCCACGCCATCTTTGGCTGCACTACCTCATCCGGCACCCCCAGCCCAACGTCTCCGCCCTCTGGCGGTGGCCCGGAGAACGTCGGCTGCCTTTTCTTCACTTCCATTCCTCCCATCCTGGCCCGCTTTCCTCACGGACGGGAGTCGAAAGAGGACACTGGGGCGGGCCGAGAGGCCTGAAACCACGGGAACCTCAAGTTTTACCTCAGGGGGACGCGAGGCCGCGCGTGAGCGAGCGCAGTGACGCCATCAGCGCGCGCGCGCAGCCGGGCCTTTGGCGCCAAGATGGCCGCGCGGCGGCGGGAAGCGTCGTGAAAGGCAACGGGGGAGCCTCGTTAGGCCCGGAACATGGTGAGGGAGCCCGTGGCTGGCTTGCTCGCCCGGGGCCTGGCCCTCGGGATCGGCCAGGGGTGTCTCGGGAGCCAGGGTTAGCCAGCTTAAAGAGGGGGAAAGGGAGCTCTCGTGGCTCTGTTTCCCTCTCTTTCTCTTGTTTTTATTCCGCTGAAATTTCATGTTATTTCAGGCTCCGAGCCAGGAGAGATTTGGGTTTCGGTCCTAGCAGGGATAGAAAGTCAAGCCACCTTTCCTAACATCAATCCATGTATCTACTTTTTTGTACGTTAGATCTGCTTGAGAAGGGGGTTGGGCTGGAAGACCTCTTAGGAACCCTTCCAATTCTGATATTTTGTATTGCCCGCCCCCCGCTTTTTTTTGGGGGGGGGGAAGACTTTGTATAAGACGCTTGGCGGCTGGGGAATTCTGGGAGTTGGAAGTCCACAGGCCTTAAAAGTCCTCAAGTTTCTGTGTCCTAAAATTACAGGAAGTCCTCGACTTACGACCACACGAGCCCAGCATTGATGTTGCTAAGCAAAACGTTTGTTAAGTGAGCTTTGCCCCCATTTAATGACTTTTCTTGCCCAGTTAAGTGAATCACTGCAGTTGATAAGTGAATAACCCATTTTTAAGTGAATCTGGCTTCCCCATTGACTTTGATTGTCTGAAGGTCGCAAAATCGGATTACGTGATGGGGACACTGCCCCCGTCATAAATATGAATCAATTGTCAAGCATCTGAATTTTGAGCATTGTGACCACATGGATGCTCAGTGGTCGTAAGTGTGTAAAACGGTCATAAGTCACATTTTTCAGTGCCGTTGTAACTTTGAACAGTCACTAAATGAAAACTTATAAATTGGGGACAGCCTATAATTTAGGATATCCCCCTCCCCTCAAAGTATTTTCTATCTGCATAAATATGTGCCCCATTCGCCTTATTTATAAGGATACTGCATCAGTGCTGTTCTCATTGCCTTAAAAAATACTAAAATTGCACAAACACAGAAAGGCAATTTGCAATTTTTTTATTGCAAATCAGAGCTTGTTGGAATTTCTTACTTGGTCAGTTTCAGCCATTTGGGTTTATTTAATGGCTGCAAATTGGAAGTCTTTGTCAGTATGAAGAGCTAAATTTTGCCTACATTTAGCTTTTATATACTTTCGCTTTTATAGCAATTTGTAAGGAATGATTATTGTCTCCCTTGTTATTCTAAAATAATTCACCCAAACAGTTTTTAGGATGAGGGCAGTTGTCCTCAACAGTCCGTGTTTCCTTCAGTTGATGGTCAGTTTAATGGATAAAAAGACCTCCTCCTTACAGAGAATGGGAGGGAAATGATCACAAATGCCTTGGAATTTAAAATGAGTACAAATCTGTGTTTGGAAGTGGCTTGTTTGTTGCTTTTGAGATGTTAGCATGAGAAACGTTGCAAACTTGGAGTGTCAAACCTTGTTTTTCTCTAGTTATTCTCCATGCATCAGTTAACAATAATTGTCTGGGTTCAGGAGGCTGTAGGGCAAGGATACAGCCTGTTATTTATATTATTTTGTCAAATGATTATAAGATAACAGGTATAAGTATAAACGTAGTTATGAATACATGAAATGGATACTTATAAGAAAGAAAGAAAAAAAGAAAAAAAAGAAACAATAGGACAGGGACGGTAGGCACGTTGGTGCGCTTATGCATGCCCCCATCAGTATCTATCAGTACCAATAGATCTTCAATTGCATGCATTTTTAGGAGCAAGTCCTTGTGCATCCAGTAGGAATGACTTTCTTGGTAAACATGACTGTTAACATTTGTGCAGATACAATAACTGTATGCTGTATTAAATTTAGATAGTGGTTTCACAACCTTTGTCTCTTCCATTAGGAAGCTAGCAACCTCCAAGAAAGGCTGGTATTCTAAAAGTTTAGATTTGTATGATGTGTTGATATTCTAAATTCTCAATTTGATATGCTTTGTGCATTTGTATGTAATCGGTTGAGAAAGGGTGCTCATGATGTCAAGAAACGAAACTCTACTATAGTAGCAAACTGAGCACAGGATCAAGCTTATGATTCTGCTGTGTTAGTGGGCCATTTTGTGTAATACAGAACACAAAGCATTATTGTGCCTATTTTGCATCTGGAAAAGATTAAACTGCAGCGTAACATACATTTTTATCCAGCTTTTTAAAAATCAACCATGTAAGAAAGTGGATATTTTCTCTTTGTTTTAGAATAATTATAATTTATCTGATACCTACTTCAATTTCCAGTACTTTATTTTTGTCTATTGAGTAATATTTGGAAAGGGCTTCTTCTTTCCTCTTATCAAAACATTTAGTTTTTCTCTCTGTATTTGTAAATACAGATGTATGCCAAAGCACACACTTCCTGGCTTCACTAGTGCACATTTCCATAATCTTGTCTTTGCGCTTTGATAAAATTGGTAAAATCAGGAGGAAACATTTTAGTTTCTAATGTGGGAGGAGTAAGATATCAGAGTTAATTTTTTTCTTGCACCGTTATTTTTTACTTTTGCTATTAAAAAAAGAACATATACGTGCTGTGTTTTTATATGTGTGTGTGTGTATATTGCTAAAACATTTTTCAAACTTTGACAATTTCAACCAGGGCTAAATGGCCATCTGCATAAGATATGAAATATATAATTGGCTATGAGAATGCAGTTAAATCTCTTTATAGGATAATATAGTCTAGCACCTAAGATAAATAAATATGACCATTTTTTATCATCAGCTGAAATGCATGTAGTTACTATAAAATGCAATGGATAGCTAGGCACTTTAACTGAGTGGCAGCAGATGCTTGAATCATATTTAAGCACTTTAATATGTACATATTGATTTGGAAGTATTAGAATTATTACTCTGCTTTTGAAGTAGAATGATAATTAAGGAGATTTGTTGGCCTATGTGACATAGCATTCACAGTTTGCAGAAGCCATGGAGAATAAAAATATTAACAAACTATACTTTAATATGTGGCAAGTTACACTCTGGAAATGCATATATTTGTGTTTCCATGCAACTCTTTCCATGTCTTGAAATTTTTTACAAGGAGCTGTTGTAATATGTCTTCCTAATTATTTGCAAAGATTAATTAATCTTTGAAGCTGTTTTTCAATTATGAACTGAAATAGTACTGACTGTTTTACTGTTTGATTAGCTGCTTATCTGTATAGCCCAGTCCTAATTTTGTTGAATCCAATGGAATAATTCCTCAGCAAACAAATTAGTTGGAAATAAGTAATAAGTTTCAGTAATGTTTTTGTTACTGATTTTACTTATCAAAATACTGAAATGCAAAAAAAAAGATATTGAATAATTATTGTACGCCTAAAACAAAAAGTCCCAAAATATGTTATGTTAATTAAATATCCTAAACATAAAATACCCTTTCTAATTAACAGAAAAAATATATACAATAATTAATACTTTTACAGATTTAATTCCATTGTCAAGCTTATTAAATCTGGATTGTGTAGTGATGCTTTGTGACAGCGGTGTCAGACTCGTTTTGATCGAGGGCCGCATCAGGATTGTGTTTGACCTCGTGGGGGGGATGGGTATGGCCAAGGTGGGCATGGCCAGCTGTGTCGGGGCGCCTGTGGCGGCCCAAGCACTCTGCCAGCAAAAATGAAGCTCAGGAGGGACGCATGCTCCACAACCAATTGCACTCCAATTCAGGTGACCCTGAGGGAAAAGATAAACCCTTAAGAGCTCTCAGAGACAGTGCTAATGACCAGATGACTGCAAAGAAAGATGATCTTCCATTCCCCCCAATCTGATCAGAACCCATTCTTCTGTCACCCTGAATATCCTGTCTCTATTGTCAGTACCAATCCCATCACTACATTACGTCACTTACAGTTCCTTCACCCCCTTTTTAAAAAAATTATTGGCTACATTATAAGACATCTAATTTCTATTTTACACATTTCTGTGGGGTCTACTAGATCTGAAATTTGTCTTTAATGAGCTCACTCATAACTCATTCAAAGCGCATGTTCGCATTGTTTTAATATATGGACCCATTTTTCCAAAATTCAATATTGTTCCAATTCTTCCTTTTACAAATCAAATATAACTGATGGTAAATTTAATTTCACCTCGTAATACTTCAGAAAATTGTATTCTTGGATTTCGTTAAAGTGTAGATAAACTCTCAGAGGTCCAATAGCACCTAAGCCATACTGCTTACCGGTAGTTAATACATACTTCAATTATATCAGTTTATTTCAAGCTAATATATAGTAAGTCAAACACAAAAGTAATATCTTTTAAAGAACTTATTAAAATTTGTGCCTTTAATGTACTAATTTCTTAGCCTAGGTATTCCAAAGGAACATCTACTCTGCTATTTTCAAATTTAAATTATAAAAAAGACCTACTTACATGATGTAGGATCAAAAATATAATTGTTTAGCAATTAATTACTAACTATGGCTAACAGTTTTCAAACAAGTAATGATTACCAATTTAATATATTTGGCTTTTAAAAATTGCCAAGATTTCAAAGGTGTTCTACAGTTGCTCTTCAAACAGGCCCAAATAAGAGAGAAATCATATCTTAACTTCCCCCAAAAATGTAAGTATTAAAATGAATCCTCAATGATATGGTTGAAAATCTGATTGAAGGCTGCCATCCTCACAATTTTGCCAGAGATACTCTTGAGTCTTTAACCTGCTATAAAAAAAATCTCATTAAATCCTGTTTAAGATGTACATTACTCTTGATCCAAAACTTGTTTTAAAACAATCTTAAGTCCAAAGATTTATTGGAAGTTTAACTGTCAAATTATATCTGTTGAAATTGCACCTGTATACTTGAACATAAATGGCTTACGTAGTGTTTTTCCCCCTGTAAATACTGATTAAACTGCAGGCAATATTTCTAAGAGAAACTGATTCAGGATTTACAGTATATAGCTGAGCATTAGACTGTTTTAACTTTGCTAGCAAATTATAGTGTTCTCAATAAGTTGGAAAATAAAATTGAAGCCAGTTCTTAAACAACAGACTTTTTTTTGCTTCGCAACAGGAATTGTATGCCCTGAAATTTTGCAGAAGAAAAGATCAAATTTGATGTTGCTTTTATGGATTCTTTTACCAGGATATCCGTAAATTCTTTGAAGTTGTAACTCCAGGAAAGAAACCTGAATGTGGCATTGTGAGAAAGGAGAAACCCCAGAATAAAGAGAGGAATTCAGGGGGAACGTCAACGCTGAAAGAAATCAAGGTGAGCATATAAAGTTTAGTTTAAAATATTTAAGAGTTTAATAATGGCTTTATGATCCTTTTTGGAGTGGTATCTTTTTCTGGAGTGCTTAATTTGCCAAGACTTTCCCTGATGGTTGGCTGGATCATTCTATACTTCAGAGATATTATGCTTCATGTGTTGCTGCCCTTAAAATTATATTTTGTGTTGCTTTTACTTACTGTAATCTAACCAAAGTCTCCTTGTGAGATCGGCAGCTATATAAATCAAATGATTTGTGGGTTAGTGGAGGATCAATCAATCAGAATAGAGTTGGAAGGGACCATAGAGGTCTTTTAGTCCAGCCCCTTCCTCAAGGAAGAGACCCTCTACCAGAGGTGTCAAACTCAATTTCATTGCAGGCTTCATCAGGACTATGGTTGACCTTGGGGGGAGGGGGGCTGACTGGGGGGGGGGCAGCTTGATGCCACTCCCCCAACTGCTGGCATGTTTCTTCTTCCCGTTGGGTAGACTGGGCCGAAGCCACGCTGGCCCGATATTTCCTCTTTGGATTGGTTAGACCAGGCCGAAGCGACGCGGGCCGGCCCTTTGCATTTTCCAGGGCAGCCCCGCAGGCCTAATCCAACCTGCAGGCCTTGTGTTTGACACCCCTGCCCTAGGCCATTTCATACAGGTGGCTGTCCAGTCTTTTCTCGAAAGCCTCCACTGATGCAGTCTGCAAAGTCAGTGATGAATTTTGCCAAGTAGGAGACCAAGCCCCCAGACCCAAAAGGTATGCCAACTCCGAGGGGCTGGAAGGAGAGCTCCTCTGACTGAGATGTGGGCTCGATCCAGCTGGGCTGGAGCCTCTGATGCATCAGCCTTGCACCCCACATCCAAGGAGGATCCAGTAACGGCATCCCCGCCCCACGCTGGGTGGAGGCGTGGCCAGGACCAGAGCCTGGGAAACCTTCTAAGGGCCCATCATATCGCCTAATGTGTGCATGTGTGTCCCTCACCTTGGGGGACACAGGATGGGACAGTGGGCAGTGGGATTGAGTGGTGGTCGCTTGGTGTTTTAGGAGGAGTGCGAGACTTTCCTCTTGTGGCCCTCCAGCGGCCAATGGTGCTGGCAGCAGACTCGGACAATGAGGAGGTTGTGGGGGGAACATGGGCCAGTCCTGGAGTCTGGGGAAGGCTCTGACGAGGGCTCTGCATCAGAGGCAAAGATGGGGCCAGGGCCGTCCAACAGTTATCAGCTGCCTTTGGAGTCGGAGATCAGTGGGACAGAAGAACAGCTGGAGCCTGTTCCTGATGTGCGCATGCACAGAGCTGCCAGAAGAAGGGAACAGTTAAGGAACAAGGGTTGACTCGGGAGTAAAGCCATAGGTGGACAGTGAATGCCCCCTCCCATAGGGAATGAAGAGCGAAAGGGGAGTGGCGTCTGCAGGAGACAATTAGTTCAATTCATTAGGGTGAAGATCTGTTCCTGATATCTCGCTAAGTAATTGCTGCTACAGTGTGGCATTTGGAAGCTATTGGCCTGGCAACTCTTTCAGCCTGATAAAGGCCTGTGGTTGTGAAATCTCATGAAATCTCTTGCTGGGACTTTGCTAGAGAGGAATTCACCGTAAACTAAATAAAAGGGGTTTTATCAGGATGAGGAGTCGGCTTCATGATCTTGGAGAGCCTAGGTCAGAACACTTCCTAAGAGGCAGACTTAAGCCTCTTATTACGAAGACTTAGTTTAGAGTGAGGACAATGGATCCCATATAGGGTAAATGCATTGATTCATGCAGCGTTGTATCAATGAATGAATATCGACAGAATTGTTCTGATGAATCATTTATGTAGGTGAAAAATTCATCTCACGAAGAGGATATCAAGCGAAAACAGGTGAACAAGAAAAAAAGGATAATCTATGATTCAGGTAAGCCTTATAACTAATGTTCCAGATTTATTTTACGTCACTACAATGATTTCTGCTTGCTAAGGTTTTCCTGGAGAGACAACTGGAAAATCTCCATAGGTTTTTTCCAATAATTTTTGCTCATAAATTGCATAACGTGTGTATCTAGAATTAAGGGATCTCTGGATTCACGATAAAATTACTCGCCTCACCTGAAATTGACCGGAGAAAACTTCTATTTAAAGCCTTCTACGATGGCTTCAGATGGTTTGAGTTACAGCTTTCATTAGTGTCAGCCATTAGGGCCGTGAAACGATGGAAGATACTGCAAAAAAGAATACTTGGAGAGTATCAGTTTCAAACATAACATTAATATCACTGTTTTATTATGTTGGACTTGTTCCCATTCAGCTCACTGTCCTCCGTTTAACTGGCAAATGTGATCCAAGAACTCTGAATTTATTTATTTTTTAATCTCTTGTACTTTTCAGTGATTCTGAAGTTTGATTCAGGGACCTTGATCATAAATGATTTAAATCATAAATGCTTGTTAGGATTTTGTCCATCTGCATGATCTAATAGCAACAGGGTGCCTCTTCCTTGTTTTAGTGTGCCCATAGCTCCATAATACAGCATTAGGAAATTCCATGAATGGGGCGGATTAAAAAACAAAAGCAGTTCTCCTGCAGTCATAATATAGAAACATTGGAACATTTCAAATATGAAAATAAACATTTTTAGATATGTACCAAGTGAAGAAGTTTATGGTATTCAGTATTTCTGTTTGAATCCCTGTGAACATTTCGGCACTGGAACTTTAAAAGCATTGCATGAGTTGGATTATCGTGTTACCCCGAAAATAAGACCCTGTCTTATATATTTTTGCCACCAAAAAAAGGCCCCTGGTCTTATTTTCGGGGATGTCATCCATTGACTAACCTCACTTGCGTGCGTCACCCCCGGCCTCCTTTTTGCTGTCAAAGGCCTTCAGGAACTTCTTCTACAGCCAGCAAGGCTTTCCTGAAGGCCTCTGTAGCCGATAACTGAGCTCTGGATTGATCCAGAGCTTTGTTATCAGCTCCCGAGGCCTTCAGGACAGCCTTGCCAGCCTAGCTGGCTGCAGAAGAAATGGGCCAGCCAGGCAGGTGTTGGAGTGTGCGAGGCCTGGCTACACCTGTCCAAAGCTAAGTAGCAGGGCAGCTCCACCTCCCATCCCCACCCTAGCTTAATTTTTACCCATCCACTCTGGAGTGGGTGGGATCTTAATTAGGGCTTATATTGGGCGCATGTGTAAACATCAAACTAGGACCTACTTTCAGGGTAGGTTGTATTTTCGGGGAAGCAGTATTGAAGGTTAAGGCTTTGCATCCTCTTTTTCATCTAGGCAGAGAATTTATGGGAGTTAAAGTGCAGATATCTTAAATTTGCCAAGGTTGGGAAATGCTGGTCAATCTAAAGTGGCCCTCTTATTTCTCTCAGAGTATTTTTACTTGTGGATGGATACATTAAAAAAAATAATAATGCTGTTTAATTCAGATTCTGAAGAGGAGGTACCATTAATCAAAAAATCTAAGCCGCCAGACAGAAAGTTATCTTCTAAACCTGCTAAGCTGCTAAAGACGGAGCCTGTGGTTTACGTTTCAGAAACAGGTAACCCCACTGTAAGATCTACTAATGTGCGAGATTTATGTTCCACTGGAAATATATTTTCCAGGTTAATTTAATTCGCTTATTTTCCAGGTTCGCTTATTGTAAAATAATGATTGAGGAAATTAAGTTTGCAGTATATTACAAACATGGTGCAGAAATGGATTTACATGTGATGAGTGTGTATGTGGACTTAGCTTGGCTTATTAATTACCTTCCTTATGGGTATCATGTTTCCCTAATAGCTAATCACTCTTGGGATTTTGGAGACCTTTTTGTCAAAATGTCTGGAAATTTGTGCCAATTTCAAAACCTTTGACTGGAGGGTTTTATAACATAAAATAATAGGGTTAGAAGGGATCTTAGAGGTCTTCTAGTCCAAACTCCTGCTCAAGCAGGAGATTCCCTTTGTCTCCCTCCCTCTCTCCTCCTCTCTTTCTCTCTTCCCCCTCTCTTTTTCTCCCTGTTTCTCTCCCTCCCTCTCTTTCTCTTTCCTTCTCCCTCCCTCTCCTCTTTCCCCCCCTCTTTCTTTCTCCCTCTCTCCTTCTCTTTCTCTTTCTCCCTCTCTCCCTCCTTCTTTCTCCCCCTCTCTCCCTCCTCTCCCCTGTATATATGTGTGTGTATGCTCATACACAAATACATACACACACATAGATATATTCACACACACACACACAGACACATATAGATATACACATACATAGATGTTGTGACTCCGGAGTTGGAATCTGTTCCGTTGGCAGATGTGAGCTCGAGCGAAGAGGATATGGCAGTGAATTATGAGCCGGCACTGCTGAGTGATTTGGATAGCAGCCAGGATGAGGAAATGGATTTAACTAGGAGAGACGAACCTGATTTAATAGAGATGTCAGGACCTTCGACCTCCTCTGATTCTTCTCCTCTGGCTGAGCAACAGCCGGGAATAGCTAACCAGGAACACATGCGAGAGTTTTCTAGCGAAGAAGAGAACTTAGAAAGATCCTGGTTTGATGCAAGAAATAGACGGAGATTGAGACGTCAATCTCAGTTGGGAAGGAGGCATCGAGCCAGTGACTAATTAAGGAGATTAACACGCCCCTTAGAGGATAAAAGGAAACAGCTTGGCTGGTGAACTTTGCCAGAAGCAAAGTGATTTATGGGAGTGAACACACGAAGAGAACTCTTAGAGGCATTGGGATTTATAGCCACGTCAGGATTACCGGACAGAGTTTGGATTTATTGTTGAGGACTGAAAATACTTCAGCAGTCCTCTTGTGAGGGTTTGCTTATTGGTTTGTGATATTTCTGGAACTGCTTTATTTCATTTTGCTCACCTGCAATTAAAGGGGAGACATAACACATAGATATACACATACATAGATATACACATACATACACACACATAGATATACTCACAGACCCACACATAGAGATACACATACATGTGTATATGTACACATACACACAGTGACTTGCAGTCACATGATTGCGATTTGCAGTCTGGATTTCTGGACATCCCAGTTTGTTTGTGGGTTGTAATGATGGAACCTTCCGCTGCTTTTGGGTCCTGTGATGTTTCAACTTCCATTCCTTAGTGGCATGTTCCGGATGGGTCTGGACATTCCTGGAGAACCATGGTCTTAGTCCTGGGAAATCTTGCGCCTTGCACACGCGGGCAAGGATTGCGCACAAAGTTTTAAGACTATCCAGTGCGCGGGGTGGCCCTTTCGTGCCTTCAAAGGGTGTGTGGGAATATTCTGTAACAACTCTGTTGTTCCTTGCTGATTGTGAAATTCAGGAGGGCAAAGGTGCAGGATGAGGTTGCCTCCAAGCGGCCTCTTCTCTGCTGGCAGAATCTCAGCAAACTTTGAGTGCCTTTTCTCTGGGGTGGCCTTTGTAATCCCTTACATTTCAAGATTAAAAAAAAAGAGCCTCTTGGTCTGATGACCCTGAAGAACATATTGTTCCAAGGGTATTTTAATCTTAATGACGATCAAAGAGCCACCTATCTCAGGTAGATAAAGGCAGAAAGTTACTGTCACATTGTTTTTTTTTAATCAGCTTCGTAATGTCTTTTGTCTGAACTGTAAACAACCTTGAGCTCTTGGAAGTGGATTTCTACAGAGGCACAAAAACTTGGGTTGAGGACAGTTGTGAAGTCAGCATATTTTTGCCGAGTAGTGATAAGAATGAATTACCTGTCAGTTAACAGCTTAATTCGACACACAGGCAGGCTTCCCTCAGCAAATGTTTTGAAAAATTATCAATTTTTATTTTCCAACTCTCTGCCTGCTGCCAAGTCATGGACGGATGGTCCTCAACCTACAACCTACAACAGTCGAGCCCCAAATTTATGTCGCTGAGTGAGCCTTGCCCCCATTTTACCATCTTTCTTGCCGCCATTGTTAAAGTGAATCCCTGCAGTTGTTAAAGTTAGTAACACAGTTGTTAAAGAAATCTGGCTTCCTCGTGGGTTTTGCTTGTCAGAAGGTCGCAGGAGGGGATCACAGGACGCTGCTACCGTTGTAAGTGTGAAAAACGATCGTGAGTCACTTTTTCCAGGGCCATTGTAACTTTGAACGGTCCCTAAACGAACTGTTGTAAATGGAGGACTACCTGTACAATTTATAACTTAGTCCTAACTGAAGTAAAGGAATGTATTCCAGGACATAATGATAGCTGATGGGAAGGGCTTGTGTTCCAGTGCTTGTTTTCACACACACAACACTGAATCTAAAACAAGTTCAGGGCTTACAATGGGGATATTGTAAGTCTTCAAGAGTTTCCTAGTATTGTTTCTAGTCTTAATTTCCAAGGAACACAGTTCCTCTAATAGTAGTTCAATACGTTTCCTTGCAACAAATCAATTTATTTCAGTAAATTAGGCTTCTGTTCAAAGATTTGGCACATCAAGAAGCTGTAAGATGTTCAGAATTGGCTAAGTAGTTTGGAACGAGGCAAAATACACACACACAAACAGGCGTGCATATAGACATACATTATATATATTTTTTTCTTAAGTTTTCGCGGGTACTTATATGTATGGCATTGAGCTTTGTTCGGGTATTTTCCCACGTCATTGTAGTTGTGCTTTTAAAGTTGTAGTGACGTTTCAGCAGAATCTCATCTGCCATCATCAGGCTTCTTCAGAAAACTTAAGAAAACATAGATATAATTTTTATATATAAATTTTTAAAAAGTATTGGAATTATTTCCCACTCCATTTCAGCTGTGATACCAGCTGCATTTTTTTAAGGAAATGTCTTCTTTACATTTTATCCCTTTTGAACTTTTTTTTTTTTAAATTACACTGCCTGTTCTTTTAAAAGTTGCTGGAAGGACTTAATCACAGTGCCGGCAAGTAAGATTTTAAAAATAAAATGTAATGATAGCAGGAGGCAGTGGTTAAACTTGCTGTCACAATGATTTGAAGGTCTATTCATATCCATTTTAAGTTTCTTTCGAGTGAAAAATGGGACTAGAGGCCTGAATAGATTCAGTGGATCAATTTTATGTTTTTATTATAGCCTAGAGTTTGACACTTCCTTTTACCGCGTTACTTGAATTACTCATGCTAGAATTACATGCAATTTTAACGTCGCTGCAGGAAGGCACAAAAGCCTCTTGGTATATCATTGACTAGAGGGGCAGTGATTGAACAGAAGTCTTAATAACATTTCAAGCTGGAACTGGAAAGATTCACTTCCAGAACAAGAACGATTCCGCCGGGGACACTGACTGCCAGTTTTGAGCATTTATTTTTTTGGTAAATACGGCTTTTTTAATAAAGATGTCACCGATGGCTGTACGCTTCTCTCTGAAGGGCATAAAAATACTAAGCCCAAATATTTAATGGATCTCCATTTAAACTCCAGACAGGATGGCTTTCCCATTTTGAATTGTTAGGAATTCTTCTTTCAAGTCAGCTGCTAAAAATTAAATAATTTCCTGGAGGTTTTTTTTTTTTTTGGCCCCCTCCCCAATCAACTTTAAAAGCAGAATCTATTTGAACAAATAAAGGTGATCCTTTTGCAGAGGACAATTTACCCAGGAAAATCTGAATGAGAGATTAAAAAATTTCTTTGTGAAATGTATAATCCAATCAGTTGCTTTCGCGTCTCTCTTTTTTTTTTTCCTTCCTTTTTTGGAAAACATTGCAACCAGGTGGCCTCGCTGGGCATCTTGTTCCTGGAAAATCATTTTTGTTTTTTTGTTTTTTTGGCCTTCAGATGAAGATGAGGACTTTGTTAAGAAACCCCCTCCGAAAGTTAAACTGCTGGAGACGTCGGTGAAAATGATTCACAGAACGACGGGAACATCCCAGCCAGATTCCAAACCCAAAGTCAAAAATAAACCCTTATCTCCTGTAAAACTGACGCCCATATCCGTCCTGGATTACTTTGGGACTGGGAGCATCCAACAGTCGGAGACAAAGCTGGTATCAAGCAAACGAAAAGAAGTGAGTAAAGATGGAATATTCCCGGCTTCCCCGGGGCTGAGAGATATTATTTACGAGCCAGAAATTCTCCCAGTTCACGCCTGGTTGTAAGCAGAATACAGGTAACCCTCCATTTACGACCACAATTGAGCCCAACGTTGATGTTGCTAAGCGAAATGTTTGTGAAGTGAGCTTTGCCTCTATCCTGTTTTACGACTTTTCTTGCCCCAGTCGTTAAGTGAGTCACTGCAGTTAAGTTAGTCACCTAGTTGTTAAATGAATCTGGCTTTCCCCGTGGGCTTTGCTCTCCGAAAGGTCACAAAAGGAGATCACGTGACCCCCGGCACACTGCATCCGTCATAAATATGAGTCCGTTGCCAAGGGTCTGGATTTTGACCACACGACCAGCGGTCGTAAGTGTGACAATTGGTCATCGGCCGCTTTTTTCAGTGCCTTTGTAACTTTGAGCGGTCTCTAAATGAACTGTTGTATGTTGAGGACTACCTATAGAGATGACAATACTCTGATCCGGTTACATTAGACCTTGGTTCTTATCATCTGAAACAGAGGTGGGTATTCAGCAGGTTCGGACCAGTTCTGGAGAACCGGTAGCAGAAATTTTGAGTAGCTCAAGAGAACCGGCCAATGCCATCTCTGACTGGCCTCGCCCCCATCTAGTCTCCGCCTCCCAAGTCTCAGCTGATTGGCTGGATCTTCTTTGGTTGCCCTGCACAGGAGAACAGAGCTGGAAAGCAGGTTAATGGGGTGGGGAGGGAATGGAAATTTTGCAGTATCCTTCCCCTGCCACACCCACCGAGCCACGCCCACAGAACCGGTAGTAAAAAAAATTGAATCCCCCCACTGATCTGAACTTTGTAAATTTTGAACATCTTGACGTTCAACGTTTTGATCCTGTCATTGTTTTATTCTGTCGTTTGTGGTATTGGAAGCCACCCAGAGTTGCTTAGCAGAGTTATATAAATTGAATGAACGAACGAACATGAGAGCAGTAATTTGAAAATGTGTCTTTTAGAGAAGACAAAACAGCAAGCCGGCCTTAAACTCTGATTACCTTAACTGCGGTTACAAGAAGAATGTAGACATAGACATGGGACTAATCTCATTGTTCTTCTTTTTGGTGTGTTGCAGTCTTGGCAAAGCAAGGATCCCACCATCAACGATGCGGCTATCGCTAAAGAACTACAGCTGGAAGAGAATTCGCAGGTAACGTAGGGTAGAATTTACCTTACTATTGAATGCACTGTTTCTATTCAGTCCCGCGTGCCACGCCCACCGTTCATTTCCGTCTCCATTTCTGCAGGATTCTTTTCAGAATCACGGTTTCCAAGAGTGATTTGATGGAGCAGGGAAACTATTGGTTTTGTTTGTTTGTCTGTTTTCATTAAAATTCTTATTTCAGGTTTATTTGGAAAGCTAGGCTTTTGTTCATAGGAGGTCGTCTTCCATTTGCAGATAGAACCGGCAACCAGTGCAGCTACCGGCAGAATAAGTGTAACTATGAAAGAAAAGAAGGCAAATATTGCTTTTCCCATCTTCCCTTTTGAGAGCTTCCGTACAAGGTAGTCCTCAACTTGCAGCCATTCATTGAGTGACTGTTCGAAATGACGACAGCGCTGGGGGAAAAAAAAAGGACTTCTAACCGTTTTTCACACTTAATGACCATTGCACCTTGACCCCTGTGGTCACGTGATCCAAATTCAGACGGTTGGCAACTCATATTTATGACAGTTGAAGTGTCCCTTGAGAATCAAAGTCAATGAGGAAGCCTCATTCGCTAACAACCCTGTTGGTAACAAGCAAGTGGTTCACTTTAACAACTGTGGCAAGGGAAACTCTTGAAAGGAGCAAAGTTCACTTCACAACGGCCTCTCTTAGTGACAGAAATTTTGGTCTGAAATGTGGTCGTAAGTTGGGGTCTACCTGTACTTGCTTTTTAAGTGGCTCCTTAGCCTGGTGACATTGATTTCCAGGAAACCAAAAAGAATTCCAGGGAGAATTAATAAAATGTCTTCAGGAATAGTCTCCATTGTCAGCATCAACATTCTAGAGACATACCCGCAAGGGAGGAAGGGAGGAAATAGTTGTTAACATTCACACAGTCAACAAGTGGGCGTAAAATAGGTAGCTTGATCCAGGCTGCAAAAGTAAAAGCAGGTTAACAGGAGTTGGAAGGGACCTTGGAGGACTTCTAGTCCAACCCCCCAAGCAGGAGACCTTCTACCATTCCCGACAAATGGTTGTCTTCTTAAAGGCCTCCAGTGATGGAGCACCCACAATTCCTAGTGGCAAGCCGTTCCATAGGTTAGCCAGGTTCTAGGACATGATGATGAAATACCGGAAGTGATAAAATGGGCCTATTTTTTGGCCTCGAGGCTGCGGAGGCTTCCCTCAAGCCTCTGGGAAGCTGGAAAAGGCCTCAAACGGGCCCAAAATCAGCTGGGGAGATGCGAACATGCCTAGTGCAGGTAAGGGGGTGGCGAGGGGGGGGATCGCGCATGCATGCGCAGGGGACGAGGGGGGGGCAAGCGCATTGCCTTTTGTCTCCTGGCATGTGCGTGCATGCAGTTTTCGACACAGGAGCCCCAAAAGATTAGCCACCACTGTTCTAGGACAGGGGTCGTCAAACTTTTGGACCTCGGGGACCACCAAACTCATAATTTTAGATCCCAGGGACCACTAACTGGCTCTGTGGGCGTGGCCTAATTTGTGGGTGTGGCTTGGTGGTCATGTGACTGGCTGGGCTTGGCTTGCATGTAAATATTATAAATATATATATATAAATATTGAATTTTTTTATAAAAAAGAGCAACTTTTACCCAAAATTAGGCAAAGCAGGCAGGCAGATTGAGTTGCTCACAGAATCACAGATTCATTCAGAAATCCGTCTGCCATTGGCTAGCTCAGTCTGTCACATAAAACTTGCTTGCAAGCAAACTCACAAAATTTACTCACAACACACCATGCAGGTAAATACTGAATTTTTTATTTTTAAAAAAAGAGCAACTTTTCCCCAAAATCAGGCAAAGCAGGCAGATTGAGTTGCTCACAGAATCATTCAGTGATCTATCCATCTGCCATCGGCTAGCTCAGCCTCTCAAATTTGCTTGCTGTGAGTCTGCACTGAATTTGCTTGCAAGCAAACCTTCAGTGTCCTAAGGGAGGTTCGGCTGTGCCAAAGATCTAAAGACTAGCTAGAAAGCAAGAAATCCAACCATTTCCTGCTTCCTAGCTAATCTAAATCTCCCGGCACAGCAGAGCAGACGATGGTCGGAACAAGGAAAAAAAGCAATTTAGCAGGCAAGTTTGCTGGGTAAGGCGTGAGCGGGTGGGGAGGGTTCCCATGGGCCATGTCGGCGGCGTAGCCTTGTGTTTCTGCGCAGCCTGGATTAATTGCTTTGGGGGGTGCTCTGGGGGTGAGATTTCTCTGCGGCCCACCAGAATTTTCTCAGGGCCCACCAGTTGGCGACTGCTGTTCTAGGAGATTCTGCCATAACAAACACAACTAATAAGCAAGGCGTGGAGATTCTGATCACAAATTTAAGGCTTCTATACTAATTTTATTTTACTAATTCTTAAATTGAAACGTCTGTGATTGTTGCATGCTTGACTATGGTGTAGTACCTGCGATACTGTACTTCATAAACATGAGGTCCTGGCAAAATATTGTCCTAAAATAATTAACTTGACTGTGGCCATAAACTTTTCATCAGTTTTGGGCTTTTGCTGTACTGATCAGAACTGCAGTGGAAACTAGCTTTTTCTGAAACTTTGTTCTAGTAACTGTAAATTCTGTAAATTTGTGAGTAAACTCTCACGAATTTGGTAGCCTTACATGAGAATCATTGAAACTTTTAAGACAAATCCACAATGCTGCCTACAAGAAATAGACTTGATAATTGGGAAGTAATATTGAAAGAAGTTGAAAGGAATATCGAAAGATATTGAAAATAATTTTTGATATTATCATGGATTAAAAAACACATGCATGTTGCTATTCATCTTTATCTTTCATCCTGCTTCATGTTTATTGCTTGTGGAATGTTTATTCTGCCAGTAGAAGTTCCATCTGGTTGTCATTTCAAAAATAAGATACCATAAAGACAGAGCCATGTCATAAATTGTAATTCAAAAGTAGCAGAGAATTAGTCACTTAAAATGAGATGAATCACCATCTAAAAATAACTTCCCTTGCAAATCAAATTGACAAGTATTTGATCTGACCACACATTTATTTTAAAAAAGCAACATTAGGAAGACTTTAAACACGGTGATGATGATTTTAATAGTCAATGTTTTGAAATGCTTGCATTCCCCGTAATTCCTAAACCATCAGAAATTGGGAATGCCTGCTTAGTCACAGGTGGTTTCCAGACGAGAGGTTATTGTAGTGTTTTTCTGCCTTCAATCACATTAACATCCCCTTGATATAAGTATATTTCTGTAACCCAGGCTTATTTGCAATTAAATTTATAAGCATGAGGGATTGGGGACAGCCGTAATGTCCAGAAATTATTATATCTGAGGTAGTCCAAAATTGGAACCAATGTGACATCAGTACGGTTGAATCTCGCTTATGAATTCATCTCCTTTGGAGCAATTTGGGGCTTTGACAAATCAAATCAAATAACTTTCTTGCGGTCATTAAGAAAAGGGCTTTGATATAAATAGATTAGCTGCAAATGCATTGAAATAAGAGTTTGTAAAACTTGGCGGTTAATATGAATCAGGGTTGGGTTAGAAAATGATCATTGCTTCCTAAGGATGGTTTTATTTTTGTAAATAAGTTTCCCGGTTTTATATTAATGTAATGTATAATTTTATTTTCATATTGGTATTGTTTTCAATCCAATTGCGTCCTGGGGAAGAAGGCTGTAGCAATACAGCTTCAATTTTTCATAGGCATGAGATTAAAAAAAGTTATAGCACACAAGGAAAATAAATATTCTATATGCATTTCAGAATTAAAATGCTGGCAGAGTTGTCAAACTGTTAATTTGGAAAGATTAAATGCCTGGGTAGGTGTTTTTGAGAGGGAGAAAGAGAGGGAGGTCTTTGTGTATGGACATTTCTTTGTTTTCTACAATTACTGTTAGCCTGGCTTCAATTTAATACTAAAATAAGAAATATGAACGCTATCTGTTTAGCTGAATAACCTCCTGCTTATGATGATACAGAAACAGAGCCTGTGGGATTATTGCTAACAATGCTATATATCAGAATTGTGTGGGGAGGCAAGTTTTGATATTATTCTTGGCCGAAGATTAGATTTGGGTAATGTTCCAAGCCCCACTCAGGGAAAACAAGTTAGCTTTCCTCAAAAATAATAATAATAATAACAGAACGTTGTATTGTGTTGAGGCAAAATGAAGAAAAAATGGACTCACGTTTCCTCACTGTGTTCAACTGAGCCATTGAAAATCAGATCTGGTTTTATATTTGCAGCAGAAAATAATTGAATTTCAGAATTGGGTTAGTTTATTCATTTGAATGAAGGGCGTGTGGCCTTCATTCCATACCCCAATCACTTCCCACCACCACTAAATTTGAATCTCTCTTGATTGATTCCTCCACCCAGTGTCTATAGCGTCTATAGAAAATAGTGCTGGACTTCAATTCCCAGAATTCCTGAGCCAAGCAGGAACCTCTTGAACCTAGTTGGCTGGCTGGGAGCTAAACACCACAGGTCATAAAAAGGGCCCTCGTCGCCCACTCCTCTTCTAGCCCAGGAGTCTTCAAACTTGGAAACTTTGAAGACTTCTGGACTTCCAACTCCCAGAATTGCCCAGCCCAATTTTTGCACTCTTTGCAGCGGGAAAGACAATTGCACGAAGATGAAGAATTTGCACAAACGTTGGCTATGTTGGATGAGACGCCCAGAAAGAAAAAGGTAAATGGGAAATAATTACTTTATAAAGTAAATGGATTTCTAATCTTAACTGCTGTATACTCTAACTTAGGGGTCTTCAACCTTGGCAACTTTAAGCTTGGAGGACTTCAACTCCCAGAATTCCCCAGCCAGCTTTGCTTAAAGTTGCCAAGGTTGGAGACCCCTGCTCTAACTGATGTGCGACATGCGATGAGTGAAGTTCAAACTTCAGGCTATTTACTCCTTCCCCTGAATTACTTCACCCCCCCAGGTCTGATGAACGAAGAGGCTTGCACTTGGTTAAATCCTGTTACTTGCTCTGGATCACCTTAATAGGAGGAAAAACCCAATGTGACAAATTAAATGTTTTGCTTGGATGGTTTGGGGGTTGGTGGAAATCAAATATCATTTGCCTGGCCTCTTTGTAGAAGTGTTCTGAAATTGTTGCCAATGATAACTTCATCCCAACAATAGCAAAGCAAAACCAAGACCCTAAGTCTGTTTATTGTCGTAGCCGCGAAAAGAAGAATTTCAACAGTCAAAATCGGGCGAAGCAGGAAAAAACAAACAAGCTCAGAAAGGTAATCCCCTTTTTATTTTATTTTAAGGCTTTGTTAGGTTCTGTGTCACCTTCACTTATCTTTAAAACCGTCGCTCTCTTTCCGTAGGGAAAGCTACCGCTTCCGCCTTAAATTCCCAACCTGATTCCGCAAAGGATCAGATTCGTTCCAAAAGTGTTGGAGGGTTGAATCTTCACCCTGAATCTTCTGCTACGAAGGAAGAGGTGGACTGGGGGAATAAGAGGGGTTCACCCAAGGCTTCCTCCAGGTCAACGCCACTCAAGCAACAAGCAGAGGCTATCAAAACCGAAAATGGGACCTCGAAGGGGGAGAACCTCAGGAGAGGAACTCCAGCAGGAAAAACCATCTCGCCCAAAACCAAGACGCCGACAAAGGTGAAGGTTTCTCCCGAACAACCCAAGGTAGGTCTGAGAAGCATCCGGAGGAAAGATTTTGGTTGGCGGGATCATTAATCATGAATGTCCTTGGTGCTCTCTGAGCTTGCTGTGGTATTTTTGCAGACATTTTATGACCCAACTAAGTAACCTCATCAGTGCCAGAAAGGAGGGATTTGGTGTTTATTTGTTTTTTTAATATTATATACTTTATATATATATTATATATTTAATAATATATATGCTTCTAGCACTGATGATGCTACCTAGTTTGGTAATGAAATGTTTTGCAAGAAAACCACCAAGCTGGGAGAGCACCAAGGGCCCCAGAGTTCAACCCTGAGGTACAAATACTCTCTTCTATCAATATGTATAAATGCACATATGTACAATGCATATATATACGTATCACATATACACATATATGTACGAATGTATGTGTATATGTGTGCACATCATACACATACACACAGTGGAAATAAATGCATTGAAGGAAGACTGGGATGTCAGATGGGAGCCGTAAAAGATGAGAGGTGGGTGCAGTGGATGTCCAAGACGTATTAGATCCATGTGGATAAATGTATAATCGCTGAGAACAAGAGTCCATATAAGAACCGCAAATGCTCAAATGTGATTCAGTAATTCTGCTGCAGGTAAAAAAGCACGTTCAGTCTTTTTTTGAGTAATCCAGGGATGTCCAAGCTTGGCAACCTTTTAAGACCTGTGGATTTCAGTTCCCAGAATTCTGGAAGTTGATGTCCGCACGTCTTGACATTGCCAAAGTTGGACATCCTAGCTGTAAACACTTCGGGGGGGGGGGGAGTTTTGAATAAAGGAGGCTTTCTCCCCAGTCTCTTAATGAACCATGTTTGTTTATGAATGCAACCTCTTTTGCCAAGATTGACCCAAGCAGAATTTGAAAAGAACATCACTTATGCAGTGGGTTTCATTTTTTCCTTTTGAAGTCCGTCAGTCCCGAGGACTCTGTGGAAAAGAAGCGGATAAATTACACGGCCTACAGAAGCTTCCTCAATCGAGAAGGTCCGAAGGCCCTCGGCTCTAAAGAAATACCCCAAGTGAGTCTTTAAAAAAGAAAAAAAATTGAGCCAAGAAGGAAGCTTGTCCTTTGATTAATGTTCTCAGGTGCCTCAGTCTAGGGCTTTGCAGCTGGTTAACCCCGTAAACTTAACCCTTCTGGTCATCCCTTCCCCCTCCCTCTGGTAAATATATTTATTTATATTTATAGATTTATATATTTATTTAGGGCGGTGAAAATTGCTTGGAAGGCATGACGTTTGTGATTACCGGAATCTTGGAATCGATCGAACGGGATGAGGCCAAGTCTCTGGTCGAGCGCTACGGGGGGAAAGTCACCGGAAACGTCAGCAAGAAGACAAACTACCTTGTGAAAGGGCGTGACTGTGGCATGTCCAAGTGTGAAAAGGTACTTTA